GAGAAGGCTCCGGGGAGACCTTAGAGCAGCCCCCCAGCGCTGAAAGGGGCCTATAAGGCAGCAGGGGAAGAACTGTTCACAAGGGTTTGTAGTGATAGGACGAGGGGTGATGTTTTTAAGCTAGAAAAGGGTAGACCTAGGTTGGACGTCAGGAAAAAATTCTTTAATATGAGGGTGGTGGATCACTGGAACAGGCTGCCCAGAGAGGCCGGGGGAGAGCATTCAAGGTCAGGCTTGGTGGGGCTCTGAGCAAGCTGACCTGGTTAGAGATGTCCCTGCTTGCTGTAGGGGGTCAGACTGGTTGACCTTTAGAGGTCCCTTCCAACCCAACACACTCTACGATTCTGGATGGGCTGCCAGAAAGCAGCAGGGAACTGCTTGTCCAACGTCCTTTCCCATAAGCAATATAATGTAAAGCATCTGAAGGAGCGTGGCCCTCTAACACCCGTGTCTGGAGGGGCACGGGTCCTGCCAGGCAGCAAGAGCAGCCACAGTATTTCAGCATCCATCTCCTTCCTTCCCACTCAATCACTCCCAGCTCATTTCCACCCTCCCAGCACAGCTTTGGGAGGAGCATTCCCTGGCAGTTCACTGGTGCGACCCGGCTGCCTCGGCCGGTCAGCAGCTGCGGGGTCCTACGAGATCCACGCAGGAGCCACTCCCGCTTCCCCCGTGGCAGGGCTGTATTTCACCGTGGCAGGGGACCCTTTCTCCCCCAGGTGCATCCTGCACTAGCTGGGGCCATTGCCCCGCTGGCTTCCAGGTGAAAGTGCCTTGCCTTCAGGCTTTGAGAAAAATCTTCAAACAGGCCAACGCTCACCCACAGCAGTAGCCCGATGCTATTTTCAGAGGCTCATAGCCAGGCCACAACATTTAAGGCCTGCGTAACCTCCCAGCGCTCAGCACGGGACAGGAAAGCGGTCAGGAAGGCAAAGGACAGCGTAAGGCGACAGAAAACGAACGCTGTCTGAGCCAAGTCAGCTCAGGAAAGCTGCCAATGCAACGCAGTTTAGAGCAGGCTGCATCTTCCTTCTCCGCTGCCCTGTGAGTTAGAGGCTCGTTAAAATATCAGAAGCACAAAGCCTGGAAGAGAATCTGCAAGTCTCCTACCCCAGGGGAAAGAGGGAGGTGTTAAAAAAGACACGACACTGACACTTATTGAATTCTTTAGAGGGTTCTGGGAAGGCCTCCATCCTGCTGCTGTTCTCAGGGAAAAAACATCCATTCTTTGCTGCGAGGAACAGAGTATCCCAAACCCTTTATCCAGCACCAGACCAAACGTGGGTGGAATGCGTAACCAGAACAGAAGGGGTGTACCCAGGAGGTCACTGCTAAGGTAGGAGGCAGACAGCCACGTCCCAGACCAGGACCTTGTCACCAGAAGAGAACAAAGGGAGCTGCCACGCACGGCGGGACGTGACGGACAGCAGCGCGAGAGGCTGGTGCAGGGTACAGACAGCCCCGCGGGGGGACGGGTGGATTTCACCGGGGGTTACGGGGTGGGGGCGTGGGAGATGCCCCAAACGCAGAGATCACCAGATGGGAGCGCTGAGGGTCTTCTGGGGAGTCAGGTCTTGCGGAGCCAGCAGCGCCCAGACAACCCCAGCAGCGACACCGTGCACAGGCAGAACTACCCCTTCGGTACCAGGAACAGCAAATCCGAGCGCAGACGTCGCAAAACGGGGGCCAGGGAGGAAAAACTGAGTAGGGGGAGGCTGTTAATTGAGGCAGAGGAAAGGAGGGACCAAGATGCCTGAGGACGACCAAGCACAGGAAACCAAAGACTGCGTGCGCCCGTGGAGTAACAGGGTCACGCGTGAGCCACGGGCTCTGAGCGCGCTCGCCTGCTCGAGGCCCGGCCC